GCTTGCAAAGTGGCAGCTTCTTATCATTTACGGACATGTTTACCAGGTACCCTCGCGGCGGAGCGGGCTCCGCGTGTCTGTTGTGCCTTTTGGCGTGCGGCGGCGCGCGCCACCAGCCGTCACCCGCCTATGCCTAGCCCGAGTGCTGGCCGGCCATCGGACCAGACCCTCCTCCCCTCGCCCCAGGCGCGTCGATTTGTCAAGAGTTTTGGAGTGGGATGGAACAGCCTAGCCTCCCCCGGAATTTATTTTTCTTGCTGGATTTATTTGCTTACCATTTGATTTTTGAACGCCCTGTTCTGTGACAAGCGACATGTTGTCTGCTTAGTTTTGTAACACTTATCAACAAGCACTGTACTTGAATAATGTAGCAGTCATGGCCATGAAATGCCACCAGTAGAAAGCAGGCGCTGTCTGATACTTTTCGTTTTCTTCAATTCTGTAGCATTCAAGCAAAAACTATTGGGGTCCAAACCACCAACATTACGAGGGTGTGAGGGCAAACCAACACTGGACCAGAGCCTTCGCAACAGAACAGGAATCGGCGCCGGTGCCCCTGCTCCGCACTGCCTACGGCCCGGGACCGCCGCCAGGTTGGCCGGGTGACGGCAACAGCGCTGGCACCGCTGGCTCCGAACGTACGGCGGCGGCCCGGCGCTCCGAGCGGCCGGACCCCCGGCGAGCGCCGTGTGTTTTCTGAGCGGCGTTAGCGCATCGGTCCGTGCAGCCGGCGCGGTCGCGGTCAAGCGAGCGCGGCCGAGCCAGCAGGGTCGCCGCGCCGCCGCGCTGTGCCAGCACTTGTGCAAACTTCCGGCGCGGTGTTGGTGTAGCGATCTTGTTGCACCTGATGGATGGCTGAGCGATGGGGCCAGCACGACGCAAACCTTTGCTCATGCATCGGTGAAGTCATGCACCCCACGCGTGCGAGCAGGTGGCCTCCTCTCGAGTCTCGGTCCCCAGTGTTAGTTTGCGTGAGATGCTGAGCATGGCACGGAGTGGTTAGGCATGATTTGCTGATGGTCAGGCATGCTTTCCGTGGGATGTTCCGTTAATTTTGCACGACGCCCACTGCTGTTCAAGTCCACGAAATGCTGGTTGTTTTCCACCTGCCTGGTGGAGGAAATCAGCGCAACTCGCTCGTACTTTAATGTTAAAATTACCAGGCACGCGTCGGTAGCTGTAAACTGAAACCAGGTTCAGCTGTCTTTCATACATCTGTTTCTCCCCTAAACCATCCTTAAGCCGCGAGGCAGCGGGTAGGGTGGGATGGGTCGGAGATAAAGGATGCGCCAGCAGGCGGGGATTGATTCTGGTTTTCTCCAGCGGCGGAGCAGTCGCCTTTTGTGACGGCAGCTGCATGGCACGCGCCGGAGATCTGGCCGCCGTCTATGCTGGGTTGAAGCTGGTCTGTCGGTCGTCTCCACGGCGCGGCCGATCGTTTCACCTTCCTCTCCGACGCGTCTCCGAACGGTGTCGTACCCACGTCCCCCACCATATGCCGTCCCGTCTGTCCGTCGTGTGATAAATTAGGCCTCCCCTGCTTGCGCTTCTCCGTCTCGGCGTCGTGTGGTGAGGTCAGTCACCGTGCACCGTCCGTCTCCCCCTCGTTGGCCGTTCCGCCTTCCCACCGCATGCTATTCTGTCTCTCCTGCCGTGCGCCATCTCGCCTCCCCACCTTTCTCTGCTCCGTCTCCCCATCGTGCACCGTTTCGTCTCCTCACTGTGCCGTTCCGTCTTCCCATCGCGTACCGTTCCGTCTCCCTGCTGTATGCCGTTCTGCCTCCCTATCGTATACCGCACTGTCTTCCCGCTGTGGCCGTACTGTCTATCCGCCGTGCGCCGTTCTATCTACCTATCGTGTACCGCTCCGTCTCCCCACTGTGAGCCGTACTGTCTGTCCGCCGTGTGCCGTTCTGTCTCCCCGTCATGTACCGTTCTGTCCCCCCCCCCCCCCCCCCCCGCCCCCACTGTGTGGCGTTCCGTCTCTCCATCGTGCACTGTTCCGTTTCCCCACTGTGTGCTGTTCTGTCACCCCATCGTGTGCTGTTCTGTCTCCCCATCGCGTACCGTTCCGTCTCCCCGCTGTGTGCTGTTCTGTCTCCCCATCGCGTACCGTTCCGTCTCCCCGCTGTGGGCCGTTCCGTCTCTCCGCCGTGTGCGGGCCGGCTGGCCGTTTGCCCCGCGCGCGGCGCGCCGCTCAGTCGGCGCCGGGCCGCCGCCAGGGCAGGACGCGTGCGCGCGACAGCAGCCCGCCGCCGTGTTCTCCAGTCACGAGAGTCCCATCGTGGTGCCGTGCCTTCTCGCCAGCTGTGCGCCACCTCGTCTCGGTAGTGTGCGTGCACCAACGGAGGTCTCCACCTTGTCTCTCCACTGTGCCGCCGGTGCGAGGGACGGACTGCGCCAGTGCGGCGGGCGACGCGCGCCCGCCTCGTTCTCACGCGCGTGGCGGCGGCGCCGTTGGCGACCGGCTCGTGACCCGGGCGGACGCGGAGAACGATGGTGGCCAAGCCGGCGTGCCAGCCGGGGCCGCCCGACCCCACCGAAAGCCTCATCAATAAATGTGAGTAGTGGGCAGTGTGCGGCCATCGATGACTCCTGGCCGGAGCACTCCCAATTTGGTCTGTGCTCATTTATTTTGCTTTGCGGTCCGCTCTGCCGGTGGGGAGGCCGGGCGCAGTCGCCAACGGTCGCCAATTACACTAATTTTTGCGGGGCTGCAGACCTTGGCGAGGCGAAGTACGCCGCAGACCCGGCGTCGGCCGCCGCGCGCGACAGCGAGCGCTGGACGCCGGCCACTCTCGGGCGGTCTCCCGATAGGATGGCGGGTGCTCGCCGCCGCGCGCGACACGAGCGCGGGACGCCGGCCACTCTCGGCGGTCTCCCGATAGGGTGGCGGTGCGCGCCGCCGCGCGCGACACGAGCGCTGGACGCCGGCCACTCTCGGCGGTCTCCCGATAGGGTGGCGGTGCTCGCCGCCGCGCGCGACACGAGCGCTGGACGCCGGCCACTCTCGGCGGTCTCCCGATAGGGTGGCGGTGCTCGCCGCCGCGCGCGACACGAGCGCTGGACGCCGGCCACTCTCGGCGGTCTCCCGATAGGATGGCGGTGCTCGCCGCCGCGCGCGACACGAGCGCGGGACGCCGGCCACTCTCGGCGGTCTCCCGATAGGGTGGCGGTGCTCGCCGCCGCGCGCGACACGAGCGCTGGACGCCGGCCACTCTCGGCGGTCTCCCGATAGGGTGGCGGTGCTCGCCGCCGCGCGCGACACGAGCGCTGGACGCCGGCCACCCTCGGCGGTCTCCCGATAGGGTGGCGGTGCTCGCCGCCGCGCGCGACACGAGCGCTGGACGCCGGCCACCCTCGGCGGTCTCCCGATAGGGTGGCGGTGCTCGCCGCCGCGCGCGACGCGAGCGCTGGACGCCGGCCACCCTCGGCGGTCTCCCGATAGGGTGGCGGTGCTCTGAGTCGGCCGCCCGGGCCCCCCCCCCCCGGGGGGGGGGGGGGGGGGGGACGCGGCGGACCGTACTCGTCCCTCGAGAGTCTTCCGTGATTGTGGCAGACGGACCTCCTAACGGGAGGATGTGCCTGAGAGCACGCGTGTGCTTCGAATCGTGTGGGGGTCTGGGCGAGTCGTTCGGCAGACTTCGTAGGAGGCGATCCGTGAGTTGAAGGACCACACCCAGCTCAGTGCGCTGATTACGGTGTCGCGGCATGGCACCTTGGCGGTTCGGTTATCGTGCATGTGCTCGGGGAACAGATTGCCGAGCTAATCCGGGGCCAGAGATAGGGACTTCTCATGTGCTGATAACTGAACCGACCGACGTGTAGACCGAGAACAGCCATCGATAAGTTTTACCAAGAAGCGAAAGCTCGGAAGAGCCTGAGCACGATGGCTAAGATTTGAACATGAGGGTTATACCAACACACCCTAGGCCTCGGCAATCTTTGCGCCGAAATGGTGTCGACGTGTCTGGGATTCTGGACAGCACTTGCGCGTTCGTTGCTGGAGGAATCTGCCCCGCGTGCACGCACACTATCCTGTTTAATTTTATACCCGGTTCCGTCGTACTTTTGTCGTCCCTCAATCTCCTGAAACGACGCAGTCCTGGCTGAAACGGGACTAGCGCAGGCAAGCTGGACCGAATGTGAGCCAAATGTGACCTCTTAAGTACCGCCCAGGGCTGCGGCAGTGCATTAGCAGGCGCTAGCTCGCGTGATCACGCCGTCAATGGAAAGTGGAAATTATGCAAATACGCCGCCCTGCCGCTGTCATGTTCTGAGACGCAATGAACTGGTTGTGCGCCACGGACCGGGCGACATTTCCTGGCCGGTGGCTGGCCGCCGGCGGCGCGGCGGCGCTGACCCGGTTGTGGGCGCCCGAGGCGGCCGATCGAAGGTGGTCGAGGCGCTGACCGGACCGGCCGGGACCGGTCTCTCCGCGACCGGGTCACCGTTTCACCGGAACAGCGCGGCGCCGGGTGGGCCCGCCTCCGTCCGGCTCGCCGCCGCTCGCCGCCGCTGCCGCAGCCTCGCCCGATACCAGTGACGTCATCAGCCCGATCTGCGGCGATGATTGGCGCGGGAACGGCGGATGTTCAGCGGTTCGTTTGTTGGGGCGGGCTTTGTTCACAAATTCGTCCTCGGGACAGTGTCGGATGCACACTGTCACGAGGGCGGCGGCGCAATGCCGGCGGCACGGAGCGTGAATGATTGGTTGCAGAGGTGGCTGCTGTTGCACCACTGGTGGTGTGTCATCCGTTGCACTCTGTGACAAATTATGGTATGTTTCATCCGGCCTCCCACAGCGCCCACATTCTCATCGGCGCAGACGAAAGCTGACGCCATGAGAAGGACGGTTGATGAGACTCGACGTCGTCGTCGGTTAGTTTGCCGTTTCTTTCGCGGTCAACTCTGTAACGTCCTGGAACTAATGCTTCGGTCGGGCGTCTGCGCGCGTTTCCTGGGTCTAGGGCGCACGGTCCATTTGTGGGCTTCACTTCTCAAAGCCCGATTTCGGCGTCATCTGCCGCCTGACCCGCCGTCGGTGCCTCCACCCAGCGGTCAGCTACGTCAGCATCACCACCCCCCACGCTCGCCTCCCCCGCCGGCTTCAGCGCGTCTCCACCCTCCACGCTCGCCTCCCCCGCCGGCGTCAGCGCGTCTTCACCCTCCACACTCGCCTCCCCCGCCGGCTTCAGCGCGTTTCCATCCTGGACGCTCGCCTCCCCCGCCGGCTTCAGTGCGTCTCCACCCTCCACGCTGGCCTCCCCCGCCGGCTTCAGCGCGTCTCCACCCTCCACGCTCGCCTCCCCCGCCGGCTTCAGCACGTCTTCCCCCTCCACGCTGGCCTCCCCCGCCGGCTTCAGCGCGTCTCCATCCTGGACGCTCGCCTCCCCCGCCGGCTTCAGCGCGTCTCCACCCTCCACGCTCGCCTCCCCCGCCGGCGTCGGTGCGTCGGCCGGTCGACGCCGGCCCAGCTCTGGCGCGGCCCGCCGGGCCCGCCGGGCCCGCTGTGACGGCTCTGCCCTGTCTGGCGAGGTGCCCATCTCGCGTCGCCCCGCCGGTGGCCGCTCCAGATGCCCGGCGCGTCGGGGGCTCAGCTAGTTTGACTGAATCGAAGTCGGGAAATCGAGACCGCAGGCTCTTGTGTGCTGACGTTGGGCTGTTATTCGGACGTTATTGTCCGTCGCCTGCCTGAATGCTCAGCATTATGTTCTGCTGTGCTGGCATGACACGGTGCTGGGATCGCCATCATGACAGCGGCGCTGGTTCATCTTCGTAACCAATTCTTCGCGGGTGTTGCAGCATCTCATGCCGATGTCAGGAGAGAACCAATAAACCGTTTACGCGCTGCGTACTCGGCATATTAACGTAGCTAGGTACCCGTCGTGCATTCATGTGTCGTATTTAAGGTCATTGGCAGCTTTGTCATGTTATTATCAAGTGTTGATGCCCATGAGCTTTTAATGCTTTGCGTAGCAGATTTATTACGTGTAACCCCCATCCAAGCTGCTCCGATCAGTCCCGACGGCGGCACGGAAGCCCGGCTGGGGTGTCGCCGTGCCGTGCCGTGCCGTGCCGTGCCGTGCCGGTGCCGTGCCGTGCCGTGCCGTGCCGTGCCGTGCCGTGCCGTGCGTGCCATGCCGTGCCGTGCCGCGAGTACCCGACGGCGCCGCCGCTGACCGTTCGCCGCCGCCGCGCACGGGGCTGACCCAGATGCCAGCCGGAGCGCTGGGAGACGGTCGGCCGCCGCGGTCCGACCTAACGGTGCCGTATGGGAGCTGCGGCGGCAGCCTGACCCGCGGCGGCCTGACCGGCGGCCGCCGCCCGGCGCTCGGCTCCCGGCTCCCGGCTCCCGGCACTCGTCTCCCGGCTCCCAGCTCCCGGCTTCCGGCTCCCGGCTCCCAGCTTCCAGCTCCCGGCTCCTGGCTCCCGGCCGACGCGGACTCGTTCAGCCGCCACCGCGCTGCCCTTTGTTCAGAGCCAACACCCGGGCGCCGTTAGGGTGGTGAAGGGTAGCGTGCGGGCGCAGACGCGGCGCGCGGAGGTACGCGAAGTCCGGGGAAGGTCGGCTCTCTGGTGTGGTGCGCTGGGTGCTGCGGGCCGGCTCGAGACGGTGCGATGAGTTGGTCTCCGGAGAGGCCGGCTAGGCTGACCACCTGGCCGGGTGCGAGCCCCGTGACAAGGGCACAGGTCACTTGTTCTTGGCCGGAGCGGATATTGCGTGCTACAGGGACGGCAGGGACTCTGATTAATTTCAATGTAATTAAACTATTGAATTGGTTGATGCGAACGGCAGGCACTTGGCCTGGATCCCAGCCTCTGGGGAGTAAACGGCGCAGTTCGATGAGCCGGATGTTTAGCTTTGAAAACCCGATCGTCACTGGGTGCGTTTTAGCGTCACTTGTGCCCCGGGGCTTCTTCGGAAGCTCGCGGACTAAACGTCGCCTTGCGATGGTTCATCACCTGGAGTGAACTGGTGGCGACCAGCCGCTCGCTAAAAGCGGCACTTCACGACAATCAGGCTGCCGTTCGAGCTTGTGTCGGCTATTACCACTGTCAGCAGAGAGCGTGCGTTCAGCGCGCCCAGCGGAGCGTTCCACCGGCGGCGCGTTCAAAGCTCGCTAACTGGTCGGCGCGCCCATGAAAGCCGCGGCCTCTCCGCTCGCTGTCGCCACTGCCGACGTTTTTGTCGTCGGCGTACGGACGCGTGAAAGTCGTTCGCACCGCTTTCCTCGCGGCCGGTGGGGGACCGTCGTGAGCCTCGGCGCGGCGCGACGGGACCGGGACGGCGGCGCACTGGCGGTGGCTCGTTCCGTCCCGTCCCGATACACTGGCGGTGTATCGTCCCACCTCGAGCCAGGCTGCTCTGGACGTCACAGGCTGCCGGCGGCGCAGCGGCCGACACAGGGCGCCGGCCGGGCGGACCCGCCGCCTTTGAGGTGGGCGATCCGTCCCGATAGGATTCAGCGGGGCAGGTGCTGGCCCCGCCGGAGGTGAAACCGGAGCCGTTCTCGCTCACCTGGTGTCAAAACACGCGGCCAGGTCTCCTTTGCTTTGGAAAGGCGTCTTTTTTAGATAGTAGGCACGATCTGTCGTCAGCAGATGCCCCGCTTCCAAGCGTCGTTTGTTTCCGTGTTTTGCGCCATGGAGGGAGGGTGAATCTTGTTCTGAGTGATCGTGACCGTTGGAGAGACAGAGATGGGGGGGGGGGGGAACACACTGTAGAATTTAAGTCGGTTTTTTCAACACGACTTCCATGGCTTTTCATGCGGGACCCAGGAGTATGCTGGGCTGAGTCTCACTAATGATATGAAAATTTAATTTATACCGTGGGTCGGGGGATCGCTTTAATGCTGGTTGAAAATCTTCTGTGAGGTTTCGTTGAATGCAGACATTTGATGCTCCAGTGTCATGAAGATATGCCGTGGTACGCTCATTGTGTAGTTTGGATACCCTGCGTGCTGTGGGCTCCAGGCGCCCGGCAGCAGAATCAGGGTAGCACTCGGATCCCGAGCTCATTACGAACACCGCCGCGAACACGGGCCGGCCCGTCTCGCTAGGCCCCGCCCAGTCGCGCTCGGATCCTTAGCTCATTACGAACACCGCCGCGAACACCAGCCGGCCCGTGTCGCTAGGCCCCGCCCAGTCGCACTCGGATCCTTAGCTCATTACGAACACCGCCGCGAACACCAGCCGGCCCGTCTCGCTAGGCCCCGCCCACTCGCGCTCGGATCCTCAGCTCATTACGAACACCGCCGCGAACAACGGCCGGCCCGTCTGGCCGGGCCCCGCCCAGTCGCGCTCGGATCCTCAGCTCTTTACGAACACCGGCCGGCCCGTCTGGCCAGGCCCCGCCCAGTCGCGCTCGCAATGGTGCGAGACCAACACCGAAGATAAACATGCCTTGACCGACTCGTAGAACCAGCTGAGCTGCCTTCCGGGAACATTCACTCGGCCCTAACGCCGGGGAAAGTGGTAGTGGAGCACCGCTCGCGTGTTACACAAATTTGTAGCGCATGCTTGGGACGGTGCCGTCAACACCAAACACCGCCATATGCCTGAGATTGGCAGGCAGATGGATGAGCGGTCTGCAGGCGGCGTCGCTGGCGGGATCTTAACATGTCACACACACGTCCCTGTGTCGCGTTCGTGCGGAACGTGATCAATGGACGCGCCTGTACGTGGCGAGCCCGGCGAACACGCGCATCGGCCGGACCCCGGTTCGCCGCACGGACCGGATGCGGGTCACCAGATCCGGTCTGGGTCGTGGATCAAGATAAGAATCGGGATGAGATCAGGATCGTGGATCAGGGACAGGATGGGGATCGAATCAGGATCGTGGATCAGGAGTAGGATCGGGGTCAGGATCGGGATCGGGATGGGATCAGGGACAGGATCGGGATCAGGATCGTGGATCAGGGACAGGATCGGGATCGGGATCAGGATCGCGGGGGCGTCAGATGGGGATGACGCGACACACATCACCCATCGGGTTCCACCACTGCAGCAGTGCAGGGCGTGGCATTGCTCGTGTTCGCGTCAGGCGTGGGCGGGAAGAGGAAGTGTGTGTAAGGGGGGGGGGGGGGGGGGAGGAGGAATGTGGCCGTGAACGCGCGCTGGGACGGCGAGTCCAGCCAGCGTTGGCTGCCGGCTCCGCCCTGTCTGCCGGCGCCGGTGGTGAACAACTGGACGTGACCACCTCTGAAGGACTCTCCCGGCTGGTATAACGCCAGAGGGCTGGTGTTCCGCTGACCTGTCGACCCAGCTGGGGATCCGCACTCACACATGGCTTCTTGTCGGCGACCGTGCAGGCTCTGAGCTTAAGGTGCAGCATGTGGTGACGGACCCGGCGCCTCGCCTCTGGAGGCCCGCCGGTACTGGCCGGGTCTCCAGAGACGAGGCGCTCCGCCCCTCCACCGCGCCCCGACCCCGGACGGCGGCGCGCCGCGCTCGCGGGTCGTGCGGGGCGGCTTCACCCGGGATCCTCGTGGGTCGCGGGGTGCAGAGTCCAGTCCGTCTCCGCACGGGCGCGGGTCGGTTAGTACGACGTATCCTTCGGCAGCCGAGCGACCCTCGCCACATCCCTCTTACTCTGTCGCTCAGGCTAGACGCTTTGCACCATGAACACCACGGTGTACGTATCACACTGTACGTGTGACGTTAGGCGCGTTACGTAGCACGCCACACGCCTCGCAGTGACACCTCACGCATGCACTTCACAATCACTTCCCGTCACATTCTTCACACGCCAGGCTCCTCACAGCGCGCGGCGCGTGTTCCGATTCCGGCGCACCTGTCCGGACGCGGCGCTCACGCGCTGTCGTGTTGCAGCCGGCCGGCAGGGCGTGCGGCCGCTCCAGGTGTCATGATGACCCCTGCACGCAGCTGTGTCGCCGGCAGGTGGAGCCGGGCCGCCGCGCTCCGGCCGCTCGCCGGGGCCGCCGCGCGCTGGTGGCGACGGCGGCGCGTGCTGATGGGCAGGCCCATCGCAATATGGTGTCTGTTGGCGGCAGGGCGGATTCGACGTGGTTTGTGACCGCGCGCTGTATAGGGCGCCCCGGGCGGTGCGGATGTTCGTTAACAGTCGTGTCCGTTGGTTACAAATCGATGTCGCCCGCCGCTAAGTACGGCTGATGATGCACCAGCCGGGCGTGGGCGCCGCCGATTAATTTGATGAGGCAATCGATTCGTGTCATCACCTGGCCGGGCCACCTGCCGTGGCCCGGCTCAGGCGGCGGACATTTTTTGCGGAATGGAATTGCATTACGTGAATGGGACACGCGTTTTGATAATTGGCTACGATGCGTACCTCATATGTCAGGATTAAGGAAATTATGGGATATGAACCGATCTGTGAAATGCGTAGGTGTAGGGAACACCTATTCGAGTCGACTCCATTTATCGTAATGACCGCGCGCAATGCTTTTCT